CCTTGCAAATCCCTCGCCAAATTATGAGACAAAATAAAAAAATGGATTTTTCATCTAGCGAGGGAGTTTTTGTGTCGCAAATCCCTCGCCAATGAGTTATAAGTATAGCCCTCGCAAATGCCTCGCAAAGCCAAGCTTCTTGACCCTCCTGTGTGCACCATTGCTTCAGGTTGGGAAACCCTGTTTTGTCTTCCAGTAACAGATTTCTTTTACCATTCTGGTGTCTTCCAAATGTCGATCAACCCATTCCATATTTTCAGCTTTCATCCCTCTAGGCTTGTGAGCCTTTAAATCCTCATAATTTCTTGAGTTTGCTACTTTTATTACTTTATCCCTGTCTTTACACAATTGATCAGAATACCTATCCATGCATGTTTTTTCCCAAACTTCCCTCACCATTACACGATCATATTCTGATGCAAAACGATATTTTTCCTGCAATAATACAACTGAACTAAAAAAAATAGTTGTTTATATAATGATATAATATATAATACTATTAGATTAATGGAGTATTAAGATTTAAAGAACGAGTGTGCGTGCCTAGTGACCCTACACTTGGACGTTTGATCCTAGAGGAAGGTCATAGGAACAAGCTTAGTTTTCACCCAGGAGCAACTAAGATGTATCAAGACCTTAGGAAGATATTTTGGTGGCCTAGGATGAAGAAAGATATAGCTGAATTTGTGAGTGCCTGTTTAGTGTGTCAGAAGGCTAAGATAGAACATTAGAAACCTTCAGGATTACTTCAGCCTTTGAGTATATCCGAGTGGAAGTGGGATAGCATTTCTATGGATTTTGTAGTTGCTTTGCCTAGGACTAGGAGAGGGCATGATTCCATTTGGGTTATAGTTGATAGGTTGACTAAGAGTGCACATTTCTTACCTATTAACATTAGGTATTCTCTAGAGAGATTTTGTTTATATAATGATATAATATATAATACTATTAGATTAATTACTTACCTTAAAATCATTAAATAACATTTCTTTCATTTCAGGACAATAACTTTTCCAACAATTTGCAGCATAAGGCATCCTTGACATTACCTCAGAAATGATATAATAAGTCACAAATTGTTGAGCAAACCTCTTCCTATAATTCAATTCAAACCACAAATAGTTCAATAACATGAATTTAAAGTATTAATCATATTCATAAATTTAATTTGCAAGGGATTTATTCTCTAAATTTGTGAGGGAGTTAATAACAATTTGCGAGGGTCCTGTTCTCTAAATTTGCGAGGGATTAGCGAAAAAACTTTTCCCTCACTAATTTGCGAAGGCTTTGCGAGGCATTTGCGAGGGCTATACTTATAACTCATTGGCGAGGGATTTGCGACACAAAAACTCCCTCGCTAGATGAAAAATTCATTTTTTTAATTTTGTCTCATAATTTGGCGAGGGATTTGCGAGGGCCTAAGTTCCTCGCTAAATAAGCACTAACTTCAGCGACGGATTTGCGAGGAGATAAAGGTTGGTCGCAAAATGTTCCTATTTAGCGAGGGAATTTAG